ATCGATGAGAGAGAGGAGAGATTCTGCAGGTGGGGGACATCGAGATCATGATGGGAAGACGTGCAGAGATGACCGGCCACACTAGTGGAAGCCCATGAACGGTAGCCTAGTGGCCGTGGAGCCCCCATGGGACTGGACTAGGCCCTCTGGATATGGAAGATGATTGTTTGGCTCGAACTGTTTGGAGGGCATCCAGGCAGGGGGATCAGTATCCGTCCCTGGTGCATGGGCAGGCTTTTGGAAGCCCGGTGCCTGCGATGTGGCACCTTGCACAGCCTTGGTGCAGTGGGGAGGGGCTTGGACCTGCCTAGGCTCAGTGTGCCGGACTCTGCTGACTCCCCATGGGAGACCTTGATTTGAGGGATGTGGGGATGTGGGGTGGCTTAGGAGGGAGGGCAGGAGGGTGGGAGGAGGGAGGAGGGGGGATCTGTGGGTGGTATGTAAAGTGAATAGAAAATTTCTTAATAAAGAAAAATGAAAAGAAAAAAAAGAAAAGAAAAGTAGAGGCCATGTCTATCCTTCCCTCACGAAAGGGATTCAGCTGAGGCTTCTCCCCTGGTAGCCCCAGCCTTGGTCTTCAATATCAAAGAAGTTCTAGGAGTTGCCCTAGTCTTCCAGAATAACATCTGCGCTCCCAGAGAGCTAGGACCAGCCTGAGTTATCTCTGATAACTCATCACATTTGCTACTTGGACCATCCCATAATTCCTTTCCTAGTTATGAATGACAGAACAAAAGTAGGTACGTGCTTACCTAGGGGCGGTCTAAAAAAAAAAAGAGAAGGCATTGGACTGGGCCGCTTTGTCAGTGAAGGCTTCTATGAGGCATGATGGGAAGAAGGCAGGCCTAGCCTTGCAGCTGCCTGAGGCCTGGGCCCAAGGAGTGGCCTCGAAGGGGCCTGACCAGGAGGGAGGGTGGTGAGAAAACCCTTGATCTGTGGCATCCAGGAAACTAGGGACGGTAGGTTACAGTTACCAGGTATGTAGTTCAAGGGAACGTGCAGCTGGAGTCTTTCTGGTCCTGCCTGGCCCACGGTCAGGACAAATCTCTCTCACCCGCCAGTCCCACAGCTCCTCAGACCCAACCAAGTAAACACACAGAGACTTGTATTGCTTATAAACTGTATGGCCGTGGCAGGCTTCTTGTTATCTAGTTCTTCTATCTTAAATTAACCCATTTCTGTTAATCTATATGTCACCACATGTTCTGTGGCTTTGCCTGTTGCTTTTACATGATGCTCCCTGGACAGCAGGCTGGTGTCTCCTCCCCTCCGCCTTCCTGTTCTCTCAGTTCTCCTCTCTGCCAGTCCTGCCTGCACTTCCTGCCTGGCTACTGGCCAATCAGTGTTTTATTTATCAATCAATCATCCACAGCAGGAACGGACCTATGATTAGTTTGAAAGGTCCTTGATCTAAGGGTCAGAGAGCACAGGACTAAAAATGGGTAAGTATGCAGCAATCATGATGTCTGTATTCTCTGGAGAGTTCCTTCCCCTGATACCTCATATTGAACCAGGTACTGAGAGACCACCCCTTTACAGGCAGGAGAGCAAGCAGTTAAAAACAACTACCAGGCATCTCAGATTCAAGTGTATCTTCATGCTGAAGTGTGCTACATGCCAGGTCCCTTGACAGGCACTTTCCCAGGAACTGTCTCCTGTAGTCCTCAGACAGTATCCCTGTTTGACAGGTAAGGCCTGTGAAGGTGACCAGGGGTGTGAATACAAGTCTGCAAGTCCAGTATCCCTGTACATTAAAAAACAAACAAAAAACCCCAGCACCTCTTTGGTCCTGGAGTCCACCAATTTGGCTAGGCCAGCTGGCCAACAAGCCCCAGGGATCCACCTGTCTCCACCCTCTGGCACTGGGATGTAGTCAGACTTTTTCATTGGGACCATCGGCTCCCCAATAACAACAACAGAGTTATTATTAATTATGAAAGTTTGGTCGATAGCTTAGGCTTGTTTCTAACTAGTTCTTATAACTTAAATTAACCCACATCTTTTAATCTGCATTCTTTGATGTGGCTCGGTCACTTTTACTTTGTAATGCCATGCTGCTTGCTCTGCATCTCCTGGTGTCTCTGCCCTGCTTCTTCCCAGCTCTCCCTGTGCCTGGAAGTCCTGCCTAGCTATTTGCCATTCAGCTTTTGATGAAACCAATCAGAGTGACACATCTTCACAGCATACAGAAAGGTTATTCCCCAGCACTGGGATCACAGGTCTGCGGTGCCTGGCTGTGTTCGTTCGTGTGCTGGGTATGAACACTCAGGTCCTTGCACAACAAGCACATTTCCTGCAGAGCCACATCCATGCTCCTGTCCCTTTCTACCTCCGAGACAGAGCGGGGTTGGCTCTGTCTTTCAACTGACCAGAAAGCAAGTCAGCAATTAGCCTTGGAGTCCCCAGGACCATCCCAGACCCCATGCTGCTGGAGGACGAGGACGGTAACCTCCTTCTCACCCCTAGCTGGTCTCAGCAAGAGTAAGGAAGAGGGAAGAGCTAGGCATGGAAGGGGCAGGACCTGGGTCCAGACTCTAAGCAGTGCGCTCACGCCTGCATCTATCTTGGGGGTATAAGAGGGACCAGTGTAAACCAAAGAGGTGAGCTCACCATCCACTGTGCTTTCTGCTTGTTGTTGTTTTTGTTGTTGTTTTGTTTTGTTCTTTCTGTTTGTGGGGTGGGACCAGTCAATAGACCAGAAGCCACATCTGGAAAGGTGCTGATTGCACCTGCCCCTAGGTAGTGGTAATAGAACCAGGATTAAAATCTAGGCTGTGAGACTCTGGCATTGAGGGTATGTCCTCCTGAGTCAGGCATGATGGCTCACCTCTGAAATCCCAGCACATAGTAGGCTGAGGCAGAAGGATCGCTGCAAGTTCAAGGTCAGCCTTGACTATGTAGTGAGTTCCAGGCTGAAATACAGAATGAGACACTGTCTCAAAAATAGCGAAAAGCTGGATGTAGTAGCCTATATAGTTTCTTTTCTATTGCTGTGATAAAACATGATTGAGGTAACTTATAAAAGACGGAGTTCAATTGAGCTTATGTTCAGAAGGAAGTGGGTTAAAGCAGCGGCTGAGAGCTCACATCTTGATCCACGAGCACAACGTACAGAGCTCACAGGGAGCTTTCATATTCAATAGTCATGTGACCAAAACAGATTAAAGACTGTGTGGCAATGTGAAATTAAAATCAGGGTTGATACCATGTCACTAAAATCATGTATTCACACTAACTTAAGATTTATTTTTTACTTATGTATGTGTGTGTATGCCCACATGGGTGCAGTTGCCTGTGGAGGCCAGAAGAGGGTGTGGGCTCCCCTGGAACTGGAGAAGGCAGCTGTGAATGCCCCCTTCATGGGTGCTGAGAACCCGTCTTCTGCAAGCACAGCAAGTATTCTTAACTGAGGGGCCATCTCTCCTCTCCTGTTTTTATAAAACAGTCTTAAATTACTATGAAAACAATACAAAGTTCTCATATACTGTATTCCGTTTCCCCTTCAGTAATATGCTATATTTGTAGGATACAGTTTTCCTAATTAATGGAACAGTGCAGTGTAGGCCTGAGTTCAGTTGCTAGAACCCACGTAAAGGTGCAAGGAGGGAACTGATTCCACAAAGTTGGCCTCTGACCTTCACCTACATGCCTTCCCTGACATACGTGCCATGCACACAGAGTAATAATAATAAAGTGGTTTTTTGGAAGGACAGCAGTGGAGATCTGTAGACAACTCTGAGGAAGGGGCTTCTGGGGTAGACAGGGACATCATATTGTTAAGCCTGCTGTCTGATTACACACAGGTGTAAGACCTCTTTTTTTTTAATTGTAGTTTTAATTATGTGTGTGTGAGGGGGGGGGAGAGACAGAGACAGACAGAGGAGGGATAGGAAGTGGATGTTAGTGCATGTGTGTGCAGTGCCCTTGAAGGCCAGAAGAGAGTGTGGGATCACCTGGAACTGGAGTTACAGGCAGTGGGGGGTGCTGGGAGTCCAACTTGGGTCCTCTGAGCCATCCCTCAATTCCCTAGAAGACTTATCTTCACTCACTTCTGGTTCCATGGTCGTTTGAGACCAAGGAGTCTCAGCAGAGCTGTGGGCTGGGGCTCCATGAGCTCTACTCCCTCTGAGGCAAGACAGAAGGACAGGAAAATTTAGAGGTCATGAGAAGGGGAAGAAACCCCTCACCCAGAGTCTGGGTGAAGCCACTCGAGAAGCAGGAATTCCAGCATGATTAGCATCTCCTAGAGATAATACTCCTTTCACAGGGTTCCTCTCTGTAGCTTTGGAGCCTGTCCTGGATCTCATTTTGTAGACCAGGCTGGACTCACAGAGATTTGCCTGGCTCTGCCTCCCAAGTGCTGGATTAAAGGCGCACGCCACCACCAACCAGCGGGCCTCATTTTTCTACTAGACACTTTCTTGGAATAGAAATCAAAATGTTGACTTTGTTTATAGTAAAGATCTACAGGCAGAGGCAGGCAGATCTCTGTGAGTTTGAGACTGGTCTACAAAGTGAGTTCCAGAACAGCCAGAGCTACAAAGAGAAACTCTGTCTCAAACCAACAACAACAAAATCGATTTTCTAGTATCCAGGTGATCTCGACTGTTGTCAACTCTAAACCAGTCAGGTGGCCCCTAAAGAACCACCCTGTCATCCCATCCAGTTCCTTGGCCACCCTTTGACGATAAAAGCTTCAAACTCTCAAAGTCCTATAGATGACCACTGTAGAAACAATGAAGTACCCCTCGGCTCAGCTCACACCATGTTTTCTTTCTGAGTGCTTCGCTCTCTACATTTTAGTGCCTTTGCTAAACCCTGACTCTCCCTCATTATGGCTAGTCCTGAAATCTCTTCTGAACCAAAGCCACAAAGCTCAGGTCCAAGTGGAAGTCCCTAAAAGACTGGGGGCACTCGGGCTGCTGTAGGTGAGAGTGGGGGGCGTACCCCTGCCCTTCGCAACGCTAACACCCCACAATGGCCCTACGCCTTCTGCTCACCACAGCCTTATCCCGGTCCTCCAAGAAGCTGTTCCCTCAGTTCATCCAGCAGAACTGCTGTAGTGACGTCGCAAAGGAAGCTCCTGGCACAGTCTGGACAAGGACGGAAACAGGGCACTGCAGCTGATAACTGAGTCTGCGGTAATGTGGCCGTCAGCATTCCTGGAGGAGAGAAGGTCCTCCAGTCATGACCCTCCCTGCCCCAGGTGCATGTGGTCCTTGGCGTGCCAGAGCATACAGGAGGTGGAAGATTGACAGGGTGGGGGCATGACACACTGTGAGTCAGCCACCCTGGGACTGACTTGCTGACGGCACAGCGGCTCCTGAAGCACCCTTGCTCTGTAATTAATTCCGATAAACTCACTGGTTTGCCAAGCTGGACAGAGTCCTGTTCTGTCTGTCGGTAACCTCTTTATCTATCCAGGAAGTCATGTGACAGTCCAAGGAGTCACCTGGAGTGAAGAGAAATCCATTTGTGTTAGATAAGAAAACTAGCACTTAATAGCAAACCTTAGTTTCAATTGCCAGAGTCTAAAAGGTTAGATATTGCCAGGCGTAGTGACACACGCTTTAATGTCAGTGCTTGGGAGGTAGAGGCAGGCATCTCTCTCTCTCTCTGTGAGTTTGAGGCCAGTCTGGCTACAGAATGGGACCCTGTCTCAAAAGCAAAACAAAATAACTCAGACATTTTATGCCTCATTCAAAGCTAGGAGTCTTGGGGTGACATGAGGTCTATGCCTCCTAGAATTTTTTTTTTTTTTTTTTTTTAATTTTTCAAGGCAGAGTTTCTCTGTGTAGCACTGGCTGTCTTGAAACTCACTCTGTAGCCCAGGCTGGCCTCGAACTCAGAGATCTGCCTGCCTCTGCCTCCTGAGAGCTGGGATTAAAGGCGTGCTCCACCACCCATCATACAACGGCCATTTTCTTCCCCTTGAGTAGAGTGTGAGACAGGAGCTGAGCTGCCCATGGACGGTGAAGGGATGCATGCGTATGTTTGGACGCCAGGCCTCAACAGCCAACGTCCTGCTCTATCACTCTCTACCTTCGAGTCTCTCACTGAACCCGGAAGTCACTGGCCCAAGAGATGCTCCTGTCTCTGCCTCCGTAGTACTGGGATTGTAGGTTTTCTACCACACCCCACTTTTGTATGTGGGTGCTGGACAGCAAACTCGTCCTCTTACTGACTGGGCCGTCTCCACGGTCCTTGTTTTTCTCTTTCCTATGAGTTTCTCAAACACCTGCCCAAACCTAAGCCTGCCTCCCCGCCCCCAGCACTCTCAATCTCTGAAGGACACTCCACCACAAGGGGCATCTGCAGACGCCCCTCCGAGACGCCTGAATTCCCGACCCTACAAAAGCGACTTTCCTTAGTTTCTCTATTTGCCTTCTCTCTGCAACTCACAAGAATGCCTGGTGTGTGTGTGTGCGCGCATGCGTGCGTGTGCGTGTGTGTGCGTGCGTGTGTGTGTGTGTGTGTGTATGTTTGTGTGTGTGTGTGTGTCTCAAATTCTAGTAACATTGTCCACAAGTTTCCTTCCACATCTGATTTTAAATATTTTTATTTAGGAAACTATGAATCTGCAAAGGGGAGACCCCATGTTCCCCAGCAACAATACCTGTAAGTGAAGAAGAAGTCGGACCTCAGCAGCCTCTTTCGACTTTTCTCAGGCTTTCACAATGCCCCTTCCCTCTCCCCTCTGCCTTTCCTCCTCATTCTCCATGCTCAGGTCTCCTTGCTGGGCTCTGAGTTTCCATTTCCTCCTTTCCTTTGTGTCTTTAAAATCACTGGCAGTGCCACTCCAGAAATGGCCCAGTCAGTAGCGAACAACCTAGCAAAGAACCTGAGCTCAGCTCTGGCACCGACGTTGGGCAGCTCCCAACCACCTGTAACTTCAGTTCCAGCGGAGCTAATGTCCTGCTCTCCTGGCCTCTGTGAGCACCTGCACTCACACATGCATGTACCTGCTCCCCCATGTACTCACAATTAAAAATAATTAAAAAAAAATAAGAATTTCCAGCAGAGCAAGGCTCCTTCCTTCAGGGGATCCAGGAAGAACTAAGAGAGTGGAGCCAGGCAGTTACAGGAGTTTTTAGGGTAAAAGCCCAAACTGACAGCCCCTCAAAAGCTGTGGTTAAACATATGCCCCAGCTAAGAGATGAGTAGTGAAGAGCTGAGAATGTGTTCAATGTGACCACATTGGGAAGGACAGTGAAGCGACCAGGTGGCCTAGTCAGTTTGGGAGTATTGATTGAGCTAGATTTTAAGAGAACTGGGGTCAGAGGTATGCTAACACAGCAGTCCTGGTCTAGGTGTGGTTCTGTTGGCTCTTGCCCTACAGTGTGGTCTGCAATAGTTCTGAGAGTGTAAGAGAACATGGTGGTTCTCAGGAGAGGGTGACTCCTGCTCCAGGGTACAGCAGGGCCTCATGGGTAACTGCCTTCACCTGGCCCTGTGGGGGAGGGGGTCTGTCTAAGAGTTTCTGTTCTTCTGGAACCCAAGGTGGTTCAAGAAAAAGTTAAAGACAAGTCACGCCTGTGCCCTCAGCCAAAGTGAGGGAGACAGACACAAAATAAAGGTGGCGGAACTGTCAGGTTTTCGTTTTGCTTTAGTTACGACATGGGCCCAAGTGAGGAGTCAACACGGTTTAGCAAAGACACCTTCAAAGTACCCTTTTCAGACCCATGTTGGAGGGAGTGGAGATGGGGACCTGCCAGTCATTCCTATCTACTGGGCAGAGGGGAAGACACCTGACACAACACACACACACATACGTGTGCGGAGGGCAGAGAGGCCGATGCCCAGTGTTTTCCTCCACCGTACACCAAGCAAAGGCCTCTCACCTGAACCCAGAGCCATCACCAACTCTATAGCAAAGGATAACTTGCAGTCTTTCTTTCCAATGTTGGATCAGGAGGTCTTTTAGCCTCCCAGTCCAGCACTGGTAAGTTGTGTGTGTTGTTAGTGTTTTTGGGGACACTGTCAAGTTCCTCTGACCCATGAGCTGTGCATCTTTGGGGACTTTCAAGTGTCACAGTGGCTGTTACAGTCACTTTCACTGGACCCCACTCAGCCAGTGTGCTGTTGATATTTCCACTGTGGCTTATTTGGAGTTTTAGGCTACATCAACATTTCCCATAAAGACAGAAATACCTTAGTGAGAATCTCTACAGATGTGGGAAAAACCTTCCAGGTGAGGGAGAGGCCAGGGCACGGTCCAACCACAGTGAAAGCTCCACAAATGGAGTGAAGGGTGTGGGAATGGTCGAAGCCAGTGAGTCGCCCGAGTGTTAGGTCAGAAGTGAAGATACGGGACAGGACGAGGTGTGGTGACTGTCTTCGTACCTCTGTGTAAAGGAGTGAAAACTGCCGACAGATCTACTGCTAACCTCAGGGAGTGAGAAGGCCAGGAGCCTGGCACTGAGTCTAACTGCCGAGTCCAGCAGGCTCTCCAGCTGGGTTTATCTCAGCCCAGCAGACCCTATTTGCATTTCTATCAGACTTCTGAAACCCCTGGAACTCTGCTGCAGGCTCTAACCTACAGGCACACACAGTGAGATACATTTACTGTATGATGTATGTTAACATCAGTAGTTAAGAGTGGAATAAAGAGCCATTTATAATTCAGATATCGTGGGAAGACAATGGTGTTCATCTATGCTTCTGACACAGAGCAGTCCCAGCAAGCTCCAGAAACAAGCTGGTTGTACAATAATTTCAACTCCCTTCATTTGGCACAAACACCAGACATGTGGAGAGTCATGAAATACAGGATCAGCACCAAAGCAAAGGGGTAAGGCAGCCTGAGGTTGGAATCCAGGAGAAAAAGCTGCCTGAAGCTCTTGAGGTAAGGAACCAGTATCCACAGCTAGTCATCAGGCTTCCCTGCACCAGTAAGTCCCTCACACAAGGCAATGCGACAGGACAGACAGGAGGACACAATAATGAGCAACTGTGGAACAAACACACCCTCCTTTTTCTTCCTTTCCTCTCAGGAGGCCTCTGTCTAACTTCTTCAACAAATCACTGAATTCACTCAGTGATCACCCCTGGATCACTCATAACAGACAAGGTACAGATGACCACCCCTGGATCACTCATAACAGACAAGGTACAGATGACCACCCCTGGATCACTCATAACAGACAAGGTACAGATGATCACCCCTGGATCACTCATAACAGACAAGGTACAGATGGAGCCAACCTTGTGGGACTTTTCACTCACTTTCTCATGAAAAAGCAAGAACAAATACTATATTCAAATTAAATCAGTCTGTGTTGTTAAGTGAAACGTCTTGTGAAACACTGTGGGAGTTTTAACCCATCATCTATTCAACTCACACCTTTCTTCAGTCAATAATACTCTTTGTTCATTCTGTGGCCATCAACTCAGCCGCTTACGGACTGATCTAGCAAGAGACTACTTCTCTGCCTTGTGGAACTTCCTACCCACTTTCACAGGAAACCTGGTGGTGGGAATGCAAACTTGCATAGCCATTTTAGAAATCAATATGGCAGTTTATCAGAAAATTGGTATCATTCTACCTCAAGACCCAGCTACACCACTCCTGGGAATAGATCCAAAGGACAATCCATCCTACCTCAAGGACACTTACTCAATTATGTTCATAGCAGCTTTATTCATAATAACCAGAAATCGGAAGCAACCTAGATGTCCCTCAACCAAAGGATGGATAAAGAAAATGTGGTACATTTACACAATGGAGTATTAATCAGCTGTTAAAAACAATGGCATCATGAAATTTGAAGGAATATGGATGGAACTAGAAAAAAAATTGTAGCCCAGACCCAGAAAGACAAACATGGTATATACTCACTTACATGTGGATATTAGCTATAAAGTAAAAGATAACCATGCCAGAGAGTCTAAGTAACAACAAAGGCCCAGGGGGAAATGCAAGGATCTCCCTGGGAAGGGGGAATAGAATAGATTTCAAGGGTGGGGTTAAGAATAGAATGGATCAGGGTGGGTGAATACTGGGAGAGATGACTGGGATTGGGGGGCAAGTCAGGGGTGAAGTGGAAACCTACTGCAGTGGAAACTCCATGGAACCTATGAGAGTAACCCTAACAAAGACTCCTAGTAATGGGTGACATGGAGCCTGAACCAGCCTTCTGTAACCAGGTAAGGCCTCAAGTGGAGGGTTTGGGACACCAACCCAGCCACAAAACCTTCAACCTACAATTTGTCCTGCCTGCAGAGTGTTCTGGGACTGGAGCCTAGCCTAACAGTCATCAGAGAGACTTCTTCCAGCAACTGATGCAAAGTGCAAATGCAAAGTCTCACAGTCAAACATTGGGCAGAGCTCAGAGGAGGGGGAGGAAGGATCGCAGGAACCAGAGGGGTTGGGGCACCACTAGAACATGGGCCACAGAATCAACTGACCGGGACTCATGGGCACTCACAGAGATCAGGGAGCCCGTGGGGGTCTGACCTAGGTCCTCTGCATATATGTTATGGCTGAGTGGCTTGGCGTTCTTAGTGGGAGTGGAGGGGGTGGTCTCTGACTCTTTTGTGTACTTGAGGAACCCTTTTCTGTAGCAAGATTTTTCGTTGGGACTGCCAGCCCCAAATAACAACATGAACATGACTTATTAATTATGAAAGTTCAGCCTTAGCTTAGGCTTATCCCACTAGCTCTTATAACT